GGAGGCCAAAGCAGGAGGATCACTAGAATACAGGAGTTAAAAACCAGCCTGAGAAACATAATGAAACGCTGTCTCCACTATAAAAAACTAGCCAAGCATGGTGGCACATATGTAGTCGCTACTTGGAAGGTCAAGGCAGGAGCATCCCTTGAAGCCAGGAGCTAGAGGCTGCAGTGAGCTCTAATAGTGCCACTTCCTTCCAGCTTGGGTGACAGAAATCCTATCTCAAAACAAACAATAAAATAACATGAGGAGAAAAAAGAAAATGTTCAAAAAACATTTTTCCTGCTCTGTAGTGTTGCTCTTTTCAATTTTTACTACTAATTTTTAAGTTGTAATGACTTTTGTTGTTGTTGTTGTTGTTAGAAACGAAGTCTTGCTATGTTGCGTAGGTTGGCCTTGAACTCCTGGCCTCAAGAGATCCTCCTGCCTCAGGAGGTGGAATCCAAGGTGCTAGGATTACAAGTGTGAGCCACCAGACCCTGATTAACATTTAAAAAATTTTTTTTGGTTTATTATTATAATTCAGTTCTTTCTCAATATTTACTTTAAATATCTGTCACTTATCCAAAATAGGTACAAGATCAACTATAATGTTAGAAATTTAAATACGTGAAAAAAATACATTTCATGTTTAGAGAATTAACAGAAATGAAAAACAAGTAAATATACACATAAACACAATTACAGTAATTTCTATTTCTTATCAATGCTATCTAAAGTAATTCACGGTTGCATTTGTTTTAGGCTTTTGGAAATTTATACTCATTAGTGAATTGGTTCACTACAGAATTACAGAAAAAAATGCATTTCAAATAAATAATATGTTAAACCTAATTTTTATAGAGAACTATTTAAAAAACACATCCCTCATTTTTAATACTTCCACGATGGGTACTTAATACACCCAAACCTTATTATACATTCAACATTTTGTATATTTTAAAATTGTTATAAGATATATTAATCCAAATTTGTCTTCAGTCACATTAACCTTATTGTAATTCTCTTTATGTAACAAATTATCTGACAGATTAAAGAAATATGGGTAAAATTTGTCTGCCAAATGGACACATCATATTGTTCTAGAATGCTACAAACACTGAATCTTTAAAAGTTCTACTGAAATAAAATGTAAACCTGTCCAAATTAAAAGAGCTTGACAGAGAGGTTATAAGAAGCAGACTCTGGAGATTATATTGTTGTATGCTTTACTGTTTATTAGCAAACACTCAACATTTTATTCAATGGCTATACTCCTTCCTGTACAACGCAACAATTGAACAGAGAAGTATATAATATTATCTATTTTTTTAAAATGTGGTGATCTCAGCTGGTAAAGTACCAGAAATCAGGGTGTTTTGCCTACCAATGAACCATAGCAATATAAGAAAAAATACTATGATGGTCCTCATTTCCTTCAAGACATAACTCAGAAAATCACCTTCTCTGTGAGGCTTCCCCTGGACACCTAATTAAAAATTTTACCTCTACCCTTCAACTTAATACTTACCCTTTGTTGACTTCTCCCCCACCTCTTCATTTGGTCCCATTTTTATCTAACATACCCTATATTAGGCTCTTTATCTTAATTTATTGCCTGCATTCTACCCACTAGATGCTAAGATCTTGAAGGGAAGAGATTTTGCTGTTTTGTTTACTGCTATAGCTAGGATATGTGGAACAACCTATGGCACATTACAGGAACTCAACAAATATTTATCGAAAAATAATTAAAAGGGTACAGATGAAATTATTCCAGAGTAAGCACTCTTTGTGAAGTCATTTTCAAATAACAATAAATGAATGCCTTCCAACATGATCGGTAACCATTCCTAAAACCAAACATAGCTGTTTGTTTTTCTCATAGCACAGATAAATCAGTTATCAGATTTAGAAATATAGAGCAACACACTTAATGTAAAGTCTTAATTTTAAAAATGCAAAATAAACCCAGCTAATTATAGACAGAAATGGGATGTTTTCTGATTCATAGATTAGCAGTCTGCCTACAAAATTATGCTACTACTTCATTTAAGAAAATAAGTTTTTTTGCCAAATGGGAGAATGAACAGTAACGAAATGTAGGGAGTAATGGGAGACAAAAAAAGATTTAAAAAATTAGGATGGAAAAATATACATTCTGATACATTAAAAATAGGCCTGTCTAACATGAATAGTTCATAGCTAAAAAAGGAGTCCAATGATAACAGAAGACAAACATAACAAAAGGCTCTACTTTTTATTTCCCCCCAAAAAGAAAACAAAAATGTGAAAATGTTTACCACTTTAAAGAAAGAAAAGGTTTACATTAGCTTTTGTTTTAATCCCAAGATATCATCAAGCAAGACATTAGCTTTTTGACCATCCTTAGTCCATATCAGAGTTTACATGGCATATAACAAGCTCAGCTCTAAAGCCAAAGTATGAACATATTAAGACGGATAGGAATTAAAAGATGAGATTGTACAACTATTCGAGACACTGGGTTCAAGCTCTAGTATCACTAGTGTGTTTAAATCTGATGCCTTAAGCCACCTAAATCTTTGTGAAGATAAAGTATGATCTGCATTCAAAAATCACTTAGTTTTTTTCAGCTGAATAAAGTCATATACCTTGATAGGCCATTTTCAATTATGTGATGGCTCAGAAACTGTGCATAAACTCAGAGAATGTTGAGATCTTGGGCTTCATAATACCGAGAATTTAATCTTTCATTTGAAAGGAAAAAACCTATCCAGTGAAGTTCCAATTATAGATTTCATAATGAATTCTATTTATTGCTTCCTGGACCTGTCAATTCCATTAATGGATGAATATCTCTTCTGAATCATAACTCGAGAAGAAATGCCACTATTTTACCAATGATATTTATATCAGAAACAATAAGACAATGAGCCCATTCTGCTTGCATGTATTGGTCGTTTCAGGCACATCAATTGGGATTCTGGGAGAAATACCAAATATAATAAAAATACACATGGATATTAAGATAAAATTATATGTTTTTCATTTCAGACAAATCAACAGGGGTAGGAAGAAGAAATATAACCCTGATTTTATAGTGCAATGGCTAGCAAGTGGGGGAGGAGGAAAGACAGGAATCAATAAATTGTCCAAATCATACAAATCATACAAAAGCAAGATTATAAGGGCAAACACATATAATAAAAATAACTGACTTTTGAAGCATATTATATTGACTAAAGTACAACATACAAAATAAAAGAATTCTACTGGTCTAATTTGGGGATATTAATATATTATTTGATTTACATGAAGTACAAACCTTTTTGCATTTAAAGAATGTAACTCTTGGTTCAAAGACAAATTGCATAAATAAACCAGTTAGTTCAAATTTGCTTTGAAAAGCAAGAAAACTAAACAAAACCTCTTACTTAAAATAATAATTGGTTTACCCAAACCAGAGTATAGAGTTCAGGTTTAAAAATAATGAATCAATAGAACCTTAGAAATACATATTATTCCATCCAATAATGAATTCTGTATCTTTTAACCCATATTACTCCACTGTACAATCTTTGAAACTCAAAATAATAACTTCAATTTTACTATTTAAAATGATTATAAATATCAGGTGAGATTCTTTTCTAGTCCATGTGAGAACTTTAAGATACAAAATAAATGTTAAATTTTGGTATCATCTTATAAAACAAATACATTTTGATGATCCTGATATATCTCAAAATGTATTTGAAATGCTTCTTTTGGAAATACACAAGAAATGTCATTAGGATATATTCACAATTCATTTCAGTCAAAGAGTTTTATCCAGCTTAAGCAGTTATTACTCAATTTTTAAATGGTTTATTTTATTTTAGATGAAGGGTGTACATGTGCATGTTTGCTAAATGGGTGTATTGCACAATGCTGAGGTCTGGGCTTTTAGTGAAACCATCAATCAAATAGTGAACATAGTATCCAACAGGTAGTGTTTCAACCCTCACCTCCTTCCCATCTCCACACTTTTGGAATCCCTAGTGTCTATTATTTCCATTTTTATGTCCATGTGTACTCACTGTTTAGCTCCTGCTTATAACAGAACATCTGGTATTTTATTTTCTGTTTCTGAGTTAGTTCACTTAGGATGATAGCCTCCAGCTTCATCCATGGTTGCTGCAAAGAACATGATTTCATTCTTTTTTATGGCTGCACAGTATTCTATGGTGTATATATGCCACATTTTCTTTATCCAGTCAACCTGTGATGGCCACGTAGGTTGACCCCATGACTTTGCTATTGTGAATATTGCTTCAAAAAACATACAAGTGCAGGTCTCTTTTTGATAAAATAATTCCCTTTCATTTGAACTGATACCTAATAGTAAAACTGTTCAGTCAAGTGGTAGTTTTAGTTGAGAAATCATCATATTGCATTCCATAGGAGGGGAACTAATTTACATCACCAGCAGTGTATAAGCATTCCTTGTCTTTTAAAACATCAGCTATTTCCAAAATACAGGAATTTGCTATATTAAAATTTCAAATGAATGTAAACCTTAAGCCCTGAAAGTTATAACAAAAGAAGGGTTTCAAATTTGCTTTCAATAGTAGTAACAACATTGACACATAAAGAAAGCCTCCTAAGAGTTATATAGAAAAGTATTTATTCATTTATTTAAAAAGAGAAAAAAAACACCCCTGTTTATCTCTTATACAGTTTAGAATCTTGGCCCTTCATTTTAAACTTTAGATGTAAAAAGCATCAAAAAGAATTTTGCTTTTTCATTTCCCTTGAATGTTTCATTCAAATTATCTCAATTTGTCCTGTAAAACAAAAATATTCTAGAAACTATAAATTCAAAACAAGTCCTATTTAACAAAGGCATACATGATACCTGTAGGCCTGGTCTGAGAGGGAAAGATTCTGATTTTTGGATATGACAGAAAAAGAATTTTAATTTGGGAGAAATCATTAAGCATTCATAACACTTTAAATATACTTACACATAGGCAACACAAATAAATTGCTTACTCTGCTGAACTTTCAAAATGTATTTTAATCTCATTCCAAAAGGAAATAAAATTTCTATATACAAGTACATCTCATTCAAATCACTTTTTAACATACATTCTGCAACTTAAAATATTATAAGGATTCAATATTTTCATCTTTTATAATCTCAATATATTATATATTTAATATATAATATATATACAATACATACAGGTAGTCAGCAGGTTTACAAAGTAATTTCTTCAAAGTCTGATCAGTATTGATAAATATCTTTAGACTATTAAAAGCAACCATTTAGGATGATAGAATAAAATAAAATATGGCAGGTCGAAACCTAATGGCAAGATTACAAGTGTTCATATGGCCAATCATTTTAAAAGAACTCTCAAGTTGGGTAGAGCATGTTTTAAAATAATACTCTTGCTACTCTCAAGCAGCAATAGTTGTAGCTATTAAGCATATTCATTTCCATTAAATTTAAAATAACTTTGCAGTTTTCTTTACTGTAATATACAGTAGCTATCTTTTCCTTTCTGTTGGATTTTATCATTTCAAGAGTAACTAATATATTACCAACAGAAGAGACTTTAGCCCCTTTCCCTCCCCTAAAGCATGGCTCAGTTTGAAGATTGTTCTACAGGCAGCCACCATGACTATCAACAGTACCGTAATACCATTAAAAGCAATCAATAACTAGAGTCACGTGAGATGTTTCAAAGACTGCTGGAGGTTTCTGTAAACCAAGGTAATCAGAAGTATTACCCTTGTAGATAGCCCTCTCATACGAGTAAATACAGAGTTAAAATTCCAATGCCACAGTGTAACAGTTAACAATCTATTTTGTAATTTTAAATATTATAACATTAATTCACCCTGAGAATACAGAGGACACATTTAATACAAAATATTCTGATATGTTTTTTTTTTCCTTTGTATTTGCTTTCTTCTGGTTTTCATCGGCCCTTCAAGGGCACAAATATTTGAATTTAAAGTGTGATTTGGATATGCTTTTTTGTCAACTGAGATTCATGCCACAGTCAGATATTGGTGATAGAAAAGCCCAAAAAGGCTTGTAGAAAAGAGGCAAGCAGCAATCCACCAGGTCAGAAAAGACAGAAGTCCTCGAAAAAGAAGAGGAGTAAAAATATTTTTTAAGCTGCTCAATGCCACTGTTATTTGTGTAACAGTTACTTTCATCTTCCCTTCAGCTGATGGTAATTCAGAGTAAACAGAATTGGAAAGTAGGCTATTATCCACTGGTAAGGTAGTGATGGATTCTGGATAAACACCCCAGGAATGATTACCTAGAAAATTGAAGACACAAAATTTGAAGAGTAAGTAATTCCAAAGCTTTTTATTAAAAACGAATCTTTACTATATTTGAAGTTAACAATAAGTTTAGTTTAGTGGCATAGTAAATCATGTTATGTTGAAAATAAAATAAAATAATAATCCTTCTAGATATGTAAATAATTAACCTATCTGGCCTCATCAGTAAAGGTACACATAAAAGCAAAACGTCTGACACACTTTTAATTAACTGCACTAAAAAAATAACAAAAACAACTTTCTCATTATATAAGAAATGAATCAGCTAACTCTACTGGAGTGACAGGGACAAATTCAATAACTTCTCAGAAATCTTTTCTACTTCTAGAATATCAACATAAATTTCTTTCTCAAAAACTATCTATGATTTCAATGTGAAGACCCATTAATAGCTTCCAGAAATTTTTTTCATTATATACTTTCTTACATTGGATAGGATATGAGTCACTTAATTTACAGCTGAACTACCTACCCTTTACATTCCATAGATTCTTGAAGGGCATTTATACCTATCATCAGGTCTATGACATCTACTAAGTCCATCCGCTCAAATAATATTTTTAGTTCTTTTGGGTTTCTTAAACCCCTACACGGCTTATTGTCTGATCCAAGCAAGGGGAAACGATGAATGCAATAGATATTTCTTGAATAACACCACATGCGGACTTGATAGCTTAGTGAAGAGACCGGTAGAACTTTGTTAGTTCACTGAGAAATCTTCACCTTTTCAATGTAAGTTATCTGAACTAGAACTTACCACAGCATTCTGTAATTTATGTAGATTTATAATCTCCTTGTAATAATTTCAATGTTAGGGAATAACAAAACCTTAAATCATTCTCTTATAACACAAAAGTAAGATCAACAGTGCTTACTAAAATTACTGGGCAAATTTGAGACTTAACCTTTAGTAAACAATTCTTGAAGATAAATCATAAAGTTGTAAAACCATGGGCCTGAGTTTTCAAAATGAAGATAATAAATCACCATCCACAGCTAAAACTTTCCCATGGTTCTTCTCACAACTTTTAAAGAGAGAAACAATTTTATGAGTTGCGTTTATTTGTTGGTGACCAAAAGCATTATTAATTAAAGGTAGAAAGTAAAAGATGCTTCCTAAGTTGCCAGGGAATGCCTACCTAGTGTTTTCAAAAGCAGAGTTGTGTGAAGCAGCATTACCAGAGGCGCCACATACTGCAGTGCAATGACACAAAGGTAATAAAAGACTCGAGCCACCTGCAACCAACAACATTCTTAAGTGTCTAATACAACTGACACATTAGGAGTGAATTAAAGTTTCATATAATTGTCAAACTGAAATGTTTAAAAAATAATCCTTTCATAAGAAGCAAGCTAAGTGTTAATAAGTTGTGCTTTATTATAAATGTCCCCAAAATGGCTTTGGAAAGGCTCAATTTGAAGACAAGTTTTTAGAATGTGAGAATATTAAAACAGATTCCTTAAAAATAATTCTTGATGTACATATATTGGAGAAAATAACAACTACAATTCAAATGGTATACATTTACTTATATTTCAAAGATAAAACAATATGCTTAAATCTGTAAGGACATCTACCTAAAACATCAAACTAAATAACAATAGTAGGCAGAGTCACATATGAGCAGAAATCCCTCACAAATAAGAACATTAAGTCCCCATTCTACACGAACATATTTGAAGTCAAACGATGGAAAATATAAAAATACATAAAAGGTAAAACAGCAAAAAGTTGTTTAAATCTTAATAAATGTCCCTAACTATGGAGGTGAATCAAAAACTGAAGCTGGTTGGACGTAGTGGCTCATGCCTGTAATCCCAGTACTTTGACAGGTGATGCAGAAGGATTTCTTGAGCCCAGGAGTTCAACATGAGCCTGGGCTACATAGAGAGACCCTGTCTCTACAAAAAATAAAATAACAATAATAAAACAAGGGAGCTAAAACCACCTCTCTAAAAATAAAGATACAATCAGGTTATTGGTCCACTATACTGGCAGATGGATTCCTTGTTCTTTCCTTCTCTGGAAGCCCCAAATAAATTTAGTTCTTATACAACATGTTAAAGTACATGGAGTAATATTAAAATGAATAAATTTAGCTACTAAAAGTATTTCCTACTCTTTAAGTCTTAAAGTCTGGACAATATGTTATAATGTCTTTCAAATCAGAGGGGTCCCATTCAGCAATATTAGGCATAACACAGCTTTGTACCACCCACTGTATGACACAAAACACTTAAGGCAGGAAGAGGAATTAAGAACCCTTCTTCACTTGGTACCAAAATTAGATCAAGGTCTCTGATATCTGTCAGCTTAAAATTGTTCTGTTTATTTACAATAAGAATATGAAGGGTTGAAATACTATCTAATAAAGAAAACCAATTTTTTTTTTTTTTCAGTGTGGTTTTTACTATTTTTCATTTTGACTAGGGTATAAAACTTACCATTTTCTGTAGCTCAACTGTACTTATTCGCCCTGCTTCTTTCTTCATCTGATCCACACATTTTTGGGCTAAATTTAAATAAGCTTGCAGGTGACTACGCATCATGGCCAACCGCAAAGCACACAGCAGGATTATTAACCAGAGTCGCAGAGTATCGAATGTGGCTTCTGTCATTCTACAGATCAAAAAGTTGATATGGTGCTCTCAAAGACAACAATATGCTGGCATGCTCGTTATAAGTTAATGCTCACCATATAAGAAATCTATACTTAGCAACAATTAGAGACATAAAAGAATCTCACTTTGCCATAGACTTATCTGTATGACACTTTCACACGAATAATAGAACCAGACAAATGTGTCATGAAAGCATAAGAAGTTAACAGGTATCTAGAAGAAAAAAGTAGAGCAACACATGAGATTCTTTTCTATATACCCTCCTCCATGGATAAAAATTGGCTGTGACATGAAAAGAGAAGTTGGGTGGTCTTAAACTGGTGAGTAGGGGAAAGAAAGAAAACTGCAGGGATTGCCTACAGGATGAATCAAGTCAATCACCCATCATCATTGGGTACAGCTTTGCCTGATCATAAACATAATTGGATGGGATCTTTTACTCTGCTGAGCTTTTACTTGGAACCACTGGAAAATCAAAAATTTTGACATATTATGAAGAAATCAGATGCCTAAGATTCCTCTACAACAATTCATTTAACTTGCTATGCACTGAAGCTGGCTCAGCTCTGAGCAATTCCTCAAGGCTAAGGTTAGCATTCCAGGTGAAAATATGTGATCTAAGGACATCTTTTCAGAAACCAGATCACTGGTGAGGGTTCCTTAAAGAATTTCAGAAACAAGAGATAACTTATGATGTCCTTTTGGTATTTAATGTTTTTTAAAGACTATGGGTTTCTGCTCTGATGAAGAACTACATTGCAAGTAATTTGAATGTAGTGACTAGACCATCCTTGGCAACTAGTCTAATATCTAGCACCTATCAGGCACTTAATACGACTGTTGCAATGCATAGACTGAGTTGCCAGAAAAAACCTGGAACTCAGAAGGGTCTCCATGAAATTCTTAAGAACATGAGGGTAGAATGGACGCATATAAAGAAGAACAAATGGGAAAACATTAAAAGAAAAAAAAACCTTGGAACTAAAACTACAATATAGGAAAATCTGAAGTGTAAATTTTGTTCCATCTGTTTATAAAATGGAGGTAAGACATGGGGATTAGACAAAGGCTTTACTATATATACTCTCTCATTTCTTTTTATTAAGTCATGAGGGTACATGGACATAAAATTCCAATGGAAAAGCACTGTTGGCTAAGAAAGATAAAGGCATAACATTTTATCAACATGTTTCCACTACAATGAAATTAAGGAGCCATCACGTGAGAGTGACATACGTAACACACAAGCCTACCCACAGCCTTGAACCTTTCCTGGGGACCTATAAACAACACTGTGTTCCCTGGAGTTGAGCAACAAGAGCAACTGACTGGGAGCAGCCTGAAGACAGATTTCAAAGCCTTTGAGGATAACACATAATGTGAATGAAAGGAACAGAACAAGGTAGTGAAGCAGAAAATTATTTGTTCAGTTTATGAGGGCAGGATTTAGGATAATAGTCATTAAATGGTACTTTCTAATTAGATTATTAAAGTAACATAAATATCTGATAAGTTGATCTGATAGAGTGTTTCAAGAAGGAGCATGAGGAGAGGGCTTAAAGTATATATGTAAAGAATAGGCAGAAGAAATTATCCTAAATTCCTGATGCCATTCTAAGCTTTCTTGTATATGTTCTCTGTGTTCTTTTTATGAGGTTATGAGCACACATGGACTCTGTTTACCAATATTTTATTTTGTCAATACTTTATCAGAACACATGATAGATTCAACTATACATTTCTGGGTTGAAACTACGTTGTACCATGTTTTTTGCTTCTGATTACACAGACCTTTCAACAAATTTGTCTATGTGACAGAAAAAAACTTGTCACTTCATTTTTCCTTCACCCCACTCTCTTTGATGGGCAGCCATTTTTTTTTCCACAATCTACCATATGCGCTTTAGATTTTTAACAAAAATTAAAACTGCCTGTCTAATCACTTAATCATAAATTCAAATTAAAGAAGAATAAAAGAGAGCAGAGGTAAGGCTAATTTTATTTGAAACGTTTATGAAACAGGTTGGAAATGGGGATGGGACAAAGGGGGAAAAAGCACAGAAAGAGAACATCGGGTCTTTATGTACAAACAACATTTTTCCTATAATTTAATATGCACACAAGGGAAAAGTTCCTTATTCCCATTTCCACTAAATTAAGTATTCACTACTAATAAATCCACATGAAGTTTAATTAGGCTGGAAGTGGGAACTGAATGTTAGTATAAGTACCAAGTGTTTTATGTATATCAGTTCTGGCTCAACAACTTCAGTCAAATTATTTAACTTCTGAGTCTGTTATTCCATCTATAAAATGGGATGAAAACAGCAACAAATGGACAATTACCATAAGAAGACAATATGTAAAGTATCAAGATTTCACATAACTGGTATGTGATAAGTGTATCATAAATGGTAGTTTCCTTATTTTCTCTATTTAACTAAGGCAAATATAAATTAGAGAACATAATTACAGGAATATGAAATCCAGTTTTCACGACCAAATTTCAAGGAAGGATTGGGAATGCTTTCAGTATCTTAAGACATGAATTAGAAGTTTCTCTGAGATTTTATCTAAAGCCCTAGGATCCTTTGAATTACTTTTCAATACTGAGGAAACCTGTCTAGGTAAAATTACCATTAAGGTAATTAGTTGTGTGTTGGGGGGAAACATTACTTTTTCACTGGCTATTTCCCTGGTTCAATAGGATTAACTCTAAAAAGAAAAATTATCATTGTCATCAGTGATTTTATATGTACACCAGGATCTAAAAGAAGTATACAATATAAAATGTACACTGCAGAGTCAATGACTAGGCAAGTATTTCTATTTTAATTCTGATGAGGTAAAGCAGTGAAAAGAACATTTATTAAGCACTTAATTCCAGCTGGTTGCATTACACGTGTTCTTTTATTTAATTCCAATGATAACCTTGTGAGGTAGATAAAATTATCTTTATTTTCCAGATGGGGAAACAGAGGCTCAGTGAAGTTAAATAATCTGTCTCAAGTGAAGGTGTTAGTAAGTAGGAGAGCTGGAGTTTGAACCAGTTCTCTCTGAACCTTCCTATTACTCTAACAGTTCTACAAGGCTAACATATCAAGTCTAGCTATTAATGCCTATTAATAAACTGTTTCTGTTTCCTCACCATCTTCTTCTGCTAAAATGCAGTTGCCTAATTAGAGAAATATAAACTAGTATTAGATAATAATATTAAGACATTATTTTTAATTTTGTTGGGTACAATAATATTGTTATGTAGAGAAGTATCCTTATTTTTTTTTTTTTTTAGAGATGCAAACAAAAGTACTGAGGGATAAAACTTATGCCTCTAATGTACTTCAAAAATGCTTTATCAAAAAACAAAACAAAAAGAATTGATGAAACAAATATGGAAAATGTTAACAACTGTCAAATATAGGGGCTGAGTATATGAGTTTCCATTTATACTACCTTTTTTCTCCATAATTTTCATAAAAAAAAGAACTTCAGAAGGTATCTAAACAATAGGCACAATGACAACAGAAAAATGACGACTGGACGTAAAGAAGAGAAAAAACAAGTGTACAAGACAATATTTGTGCAAGGTAATAATCATTAACATTAACACAGATCACAAAAATGTTAAGTGATGGTCTGTAGTTTCAATTTTATAACACATCTTTTAGCATTTCTATTAATGTCTGAAAAATACAGTGTCCTGATTTTATCACTGAAAAACAAATACAGTAAATAACATTTAGGAAAGCAGTTCTGATGATAAAAATTAGCCCTCAAATGCTCATACTTACAAAGGGATACTTTCTTTACCCAATGGTGGGTTCATAATGTAGTCTTTGGTGATTGGCTTTACCCAGAGCAGAACCATAAATAAAGGTGCCAAAAAGTTGATATGAAGTAATGTTCTGAAAGTATGTAAGAAATAAATATAAAAATTAAGAAACAGCATGTGCTAATAAACTACAGAAACTCGGGTCTTACTAAAACGGAGGTAGGAACTAATTTGCAGTATTCTACTACTTACGGGAAAACTATCATCATCATTTTATACTTATCATATTATCATTTAACATTGATTTGAGTCTGTGAGAAACTATGTCATTATCTTAATTTTTCAAATGAGAACATTTAGATATAGAAAAGTTAAATGACTTGTTCATGGCAATAACAGAGCAGAGGTAAACATAGGACTAAAATTCAGATTTGTTCACTTCTATTTTAGTGTTCTTTAATAATCCCGTACTTTATTCCTGATTCAATAAGCAGGTATTTAATGATTATACCTTTATATAGTCAATGAATCTAATGGATTTTCAGTACAGGAGAGCCATCTGATACTTTTTAGTGTAACTGAAACAAAGTACCTCCTCATTATCTACAAGTAAATGCCAGTAATTAGTCATGTCCGTAATACTAGAAGGCACATGGCAGATGGAACCTATGGTAAAACCTGCAACTAAGGAACCTTTCAAGTGTAATGATCATGTATAATTTTAAATTTCCATTGTTAAAATCATAAGTGATTCCACATTTTAATTTCTTTTTGAATGATTATGAACACACTTGAAATAATTTCTCTATCCTATATATATACACATACCAAAAAAATTTTCGTTATTCCTGACAAGTCAATATACCTAATACAGGAAAGGTTTCAGGTCTGCCTTACAAATTCATTGTTAATTAATTGTCCAAGTTTGAATCCTAAAGAGACAGATGGCTGGCGAAAATTTTTCTTATTTTAGAAAATAGGCGAATTTTAGTAATGATTTCACAGTTATATGCATATGTTCAAACTCATCAAATTGTATACATTAAATATGTGCAGTTTTGTATATCAATTATACATCAATAAAGTGGCTTTGTAAAGTAAAAAAAAAAAAAGAAAATAGGCGAATTCTTCAGATACTTTATTATCATAAACTGCTTTCATTATCAACCACACTTAACAGCTAAACTGGAGGGTTCAAATTACACACAAACATCATATTTTAAAGTATCACTACACAGGCAAATGACAGTGATCTGTGTGAGGAAACAGGGCTGGATCAGGAAGCCAGGAACACCTGACAGGGAAAGGTAGAACTCCTGCCCTAACCTCTGATAGAAAAACAGGTCCTAGTGCCTGGCCATGAGGGTGAAGTGCATGCTGCTCTTTGTGCCAGTCATGTTAACTCTCACAACAGAACTAGCTTGCCCACACCCTTGTATCAAGGCAGAGTGCTACAACACAATGAGGGGCTGCAATAAACTGAAAATAAAATAAAACCCCAAATCCCTAAAGGAAAAAAATCTTAAAATGAAGCCACATTTTACTAAAAAGGACACTAAAATGTACACTCCACGCCCAACCACCACTAAATGCTTTAAATGTTTTTATAAAGTGATTCTTTCATCCCACAGCCTGGATAAACCATCGGATGTGGGGGAAGAAAGAAGTAGTATTAGGTATGCAGTGTTGCTAGGGAACACTCTAGTATCAAGGAGCAGCCCACAGCGGTTTCAGTAGCTTGTGAAGGGCTCCCCTCCACCCACCCTTTTCAGCTTATTTAAATCATAACACTGGGGTTAGTGGACTGAAGTGTGTGTGTAGAGAGAAGGGGGAGAACCAGGTTTTGTCTTAAAAGAAGCCATTAGAAAGACGGGTGGTGGGAGAAAAGCAGGATGTAGCCAAAAGCATGCTGAGTAAAAGGAGGAAAAAAAAAAAAAGAGGTTATGAAGGAGTGTGTAGTGGGGGGTGACAATAAGTAAACACACGTACAAAGCATTTATGTAGAAAAATGGAAGTGAGGTGAAAAAAAAGACAGTCAAAATTAAAGGAAAACGACATAGGTAAGAGAGTTAAGAATGTGAAAAGACTAAAGAATCAGCATCATTAAAAATAGGTTTTAAAGAACAGAAATGTTAGGAAATAAGATCACCCAGAGAAACTTAATGATTATAAATATACATATCAAAACAAAATATTCTCAAGTTGGGCTTCTACTGCAAAACAAAACGATGAGACAGGAACTTTGTTCTGAATATAAGTTGACGTAGATATTGGCCTGTCTTTCTGCCAAGATGTCTACATCAACAAAAAAAATCTGTGACAACCACAAAGAATATAGTAAATGGGCTTTGAACTACATATAAAGATGGAATATCACTTCTTCAAACTAACATAGAGTTTTAGAACTATAATAGAATTTGGTAGTTAGAAGTAATGTATAATATGTAACATTGTATAGTATTAATCCCAAAATAAAAAGATATATTATTTTAATAAGAGCCTAATAAGCAGATAAATAACATAAGGAAAACAAACATCTCATGTATACAACTTGTAGTTTTGAAATGTTTTTAAATAAAATTTTACATTAAAAAGTTAATTTAAATATATTTATATAAAAATTTAAACAATATTTTAAATCAAAATGATCTGATTTTTCTAAGGGAAATTTCTATAGATCCTGTTTAGTTATAGAGATTGCAATAGAAGCCCCTGAATGAGAAAGAACATAAATTTTGATACTTTCATTTTAACAGGTAAGACAAATTTAGTAATCGATGTATCTTTTTAAATATATGACAAAATTTAGAAGCAAATAAAAGAAATTGCTTATAGTTGAAAGAGGAAGTAGTGTGACATCAAATGGTTATTTATTAATTTTCAATACAATAATTTATGATTACATTACAATAATATACCTTCATTAAGATGAAAAACATATATTTATCTGCATGTGCTTATGTACATTTTCCGCTTACTGTGTAATTTTTTCTGTTGCCAAATTCAGGGCATCCAGATGCATTTGAGCCAGCCGTAATCCAGGAAATGTCAAAAAAGCCCCAATGAGTGAACAGAAAATAGCCAGGAAAAATTTGAAAGTAAGTTTTGAAACAGGACTCCTAAAAATAAAATTTTTTAAAAAGCTGATAAATATTTATAATTAACTTTCAAAGAATTTCCTTTCTTCTAATAAATTATCTTACAAATCACAATAATAGTAAAACAAAGCAAATTTCTACAAAAAGATTGCTATTATTCAAGTATCTATAATGGATTCTGGTGAACTGTAAACTAAACTAGGTATCCCTTTAGTCATAATCACAACAACCTAACCTACACATTCAACAGGGAATTGACATATGACTTGGATATAAATTTAATCTCTGGAGGGAGAAGAATTAAAGAAATGCAAATTTACATATGAATTCTATGAAAGATACTAATTTTATATAACATTTTTATAATTCTATATAAAAATTATGAATAAGGATATTTCTAGAAGTAACAGTCCAACTTAAAACTCTACTACTTTAAAACAACTATTTATAGTAAATACTGCTTTATTAAAAATAGAAAATGTTAAATTTAAATAATGCTTAATTTTTCCAAAACTTACTGAGATTCTAAACCTTGCTTTTCAAGAAACTGCATCGCACTGTCTGAAAAATTTGTAAACCCTGTAAGGAAAAAAAAAGATTACTCTTATCACAGATGTGAAACAGAATCTTTCTGTGGAAATAAAATGCTAGAAAACAGAGCATCTTAAAGTTTGAAGTGACTAGCTTAGCTCTTTCATGTGTTAATTAGTATGCCATAATGCAATAAAATTTGGTTATTAGCAAGAACAGTCTTTGAAAACATCCCTTTGATATTTGTACATTCCATGAGTGTGCATAAAATTTGCATTAATTCTTTAACTATGTGAGTAAACTTTAGCATTACAGAAGCTTATTTAACTGTAAGGAAAAAATGAGACAGTATTATTGGAAAAATCAATTAAAAACTTAACTAAAACAAAAGCAAAAAAAGATCTTAATTAAGAATAATAAAGGTTAATTACTTACAGCATTAGAGTATATACTTCAAACTTAATTTTAAGTATTTATCAGATATATACTGAGGTCAAAAATATTAACACTAGATAAAGCAAAGTTGATTTTTAAAGTTGTATGAAACTAGTACCTGTTTCAAGTCCAAATTCCAGATAATTTTCTGTTACAATCAACACTGCCATTGCTTTGACAAAGAAAAAAAATCCAAAGGTGACACAAATAGATCTTTCACCACCATCTTCTACTTTAAAATAGTGTGTAGTTAATGAAAATAGAACTTTGCTGCAGAAAGAAAAGTTCAGGAAAAACCACAATAACTTTATGGGAGCTATACACAATGATCTTTATAGGATCTGATTCCAATAAAATTTGACTACATTTATTTTGATTCTACAGTGTGCTGATCTACAAGGCACTCTTTAAAGGACCTGAAAATCTAACAAAAATCTAAAGAGTCTTCTGGAAAATAAGACATAAAAACAAAGCGAATCTAAGTGTTGATAACATTTTTAAATTAAGGAAAAGAGCGTCCACAGACTAAGCTGTAGCTAGGGAATGTATTTCTAGTTTATCTGACTCAAATTTTACTAGAAGATTATTTCAAGATTTTTATGCAGTATGTTCTCAGTGACATGAAAAGCCAGGGTAGAGGCTTTTCTTGAGAACTATCTTTATTAGGCATGTCTGTTAAACCAGTTTACATTTATAATTAAACACATAACACAAGACTTATCTATAATAATCCAATAAGTTAAAATTTGAGAATTTTACTAATACCTATTGTTGATCTGTGGTATGAAACTGAGATCACATTATTATTAAACAAAAATCTTTAGAGAAAACAAGTTCCAACTGAGTATTCAAAAACAGCCAAAGTTTCCACATGTTCACCTATTAAAATATACTGAAGAGATTATCTTATCTCAACCACCCCAACACACACAAAAATTGATTCAATCAAAATTAAATCAGTGCATGGCCCAAAGCTGGAACTCCGATCTCCATTACACAGCAAAGAGTTCTCCTTGAAATCACAAAACAAACAAAATAAGGCACTGGCAAACAAACCTAGAAAAGCAACCTTTACATAAACTTTATGTCAAGCATGGAAAATAACAGCTATCATTTAGTACTTGCCATGTGCTGGGCATTACCAATTAACTTTTAATTCTTACATTAACCACATTATTATTGCTACTTTATAGATATTTTTAAAAACTCAGAAACAACAACAACAATGTGGGCCGGGGCGGTGGCTCATACCTGTAATCCCAGCACTTTGAGAGGTCAAGGTGGGTGGATCATCTGAGGTCAGGAGTTCAAGGCCAGCCTGACCAACATGGCAAAACCCCCTCTACTAAAAATACAACAGCCAGGGTGGCACACACCTGTAATCCCAGCTACCTAGGAAGCTGAGGCAGGAGAATCACTTGAACCTGGGAGGTGAAGGTTGCAGTGAGCCAAGACTGCACCACTACACGCCAGACTGGGCAACAAAAGTCAAACTCCGTCTCAGAAAAAAAAAAAAAAAAAATCTGTGGCTGTGAGGCAAACGTAAAAACCTCAAAATCACAGCTAGTTTGGAGGAAGTTGAGATTTAAAACTAGACCGTCTGGATCTAGAATGTGTGGGCTTAACAATTGATTATATTGCCTCTAAAAAACTCTACAGAGCACCTAAGCAAATGTACATTTAGCAGTAACACATGAAAATTTTCAAAACAGAACTGCCTTGACAGAAGTAAAGAATTAAAACATTCTCATAATCAGAAGAATCCTTATTCAGGAAGGGTTGGACAAAAATAAGAACTCATTGCTTCTTAACAGGGTGTTGTCTTTTGTTGAGCTATTTAAAAATGGTTAATATAGTCATTAATGCTTTCCTATTCTTATGGTAAGTAGGGTACTGGATAATAATGTAGAGTTACAGCTGCTCCAGCTACGGGCATGTACCTCAAAGTAAACCAACCTGAAGATAATGAGAAGAACTTTTTGACATTGTTCAAGCGGAACTTGAAGTAACTCTCTACTAGAATGTAAACTCTAAGAGATCAAGAATTCTTGTCTCTTGTTTATTGCTATAGTCAGACTACCAAGAACAGTGCCTGGCACATAATAGGTGCTCAAGCAATAAGGAAATCTTGCCATAGAAATATTTTACACAGTTTAGGTAAGCTGAAATGGTATTAATTCTCTGCTTTAATCATTAACCAGAAGTTTTGAATAACAACACTTTCCCTCAGATAATTTACTTGAAGGCCAAAACAATCAATCAACTTCTTTAGAAAAAGTTCTAGTCTGAGACCTGTTTTTATTGGCGATAAAGTGAAAATTATTTATTACTTATCTTTGTAAATATAAAGTATTTTCTGGGTTTTATAAAGGTTAAGACTTTGTTTTCCTAAGGCTTACAAGTGGCTAGTGTCCCTTTAAAGTGAAAATTATTTATTCCTCATCTTTGTAAATATAAAGTATTTTCTGGGTTTTATAAAGGTTAAGACTTTGTTTTTCTAAGGCTTACAAGTGGCTAGTGTCCCTTTAAAATGTAAAAACAAACACTAAGTCTAGGAACAGCCAATCTTTACCCACCTATTCCTGGGACAACCAGACCCTCAGAATAATGAGTGATAGAAAATATACCCCTTTCACACAAATCTCTGTTTTTTCCCTCAAATACCATGATTCAAGATAAATAAAATACTTTCTCAACTTTGTTTTCCTAATTATTTATTTGGTAATAGCATTATTTTCTTTGAAAAAGTATGGTCTTACATGCTACCTTATAGATCAAATCAACTTTCATGGGCTAACCTGGGTAGGGATAGGAACATCATATATAGATAGCATTATTTCTCTAAGAAAGGATTATTTTATTTGCAAGCATTTCATAAGACAATCCACATTAAGTTGGAGTTACTATCTAAAAATTACTGTACTAGGAACTGATTTCAATTTTTTAATATATCTCTTTATGGACTATTATAAAGCTATTACTTATAATACTGTTATTTTGTAAATTAAGTACCAATTTATTTCTAAGACAATACGAAATCAGATAATGAAAGCTAGATGATAACCCCTGAACTTTCTGATTAAAAAGACCACTGCATGTTAACATATTTGCTATAATAAAAATATGATTTAGGACCTGAAAATACTTATGTAGAGCTTCAGCATACACATTCTAAAGACATTTATTTACCAGTAGGTTATTTTCATTCCAACTGTCTTCTTACATTCACCATAACTCAAGATTACATATAATGGCCAAGTATTTGAACAATTCTCTTCTTTAATGTAATATGTAAAAATACTTCACAACAAATGTCATACTGCCCCCAAATATTCAACACCCTCTTGCTAAATTTAACTGTAATACTCTGGTTACAGAGTAAAAAGAAATCTGAAACTCTACTGAAGTTAAAAAAAAAAAAAAAAAAAGCTAATCTACATAACAGACAGTTTGTACAGGGTATTTAGCATTACGGGAAAGAGAAAGCTAAATTATTTTTATAACAAGGAATATAAATCTTCATGTCTATAAACTTGCAAAACCAACAATCTCTGTATGGTATAAAGAGTAATATTTACATTCAAGTTCTTATTTAGCAATGATGCAGTATTTGGTGATGTTTCCATGTGTCACTCCTTCAAAATTCTTTCTAAAATCACCTAACATTATTTTACAAACTTTAACTAAACATATTTGTCAATCTTCTCCCTAGTTTGGCCAACAACTACAAATATTCATTTATAAACATTAAAAGCATACTGAGACACTGCAGAAGTATTCTGTAATATCAAGGTTAAGCAGGATTGTCAAATTTATAGGATGCCAATTTCAATTAAGACGATTAATGGGAGTTTCACAAAAGCACATTTAGTTTCCATGTCATTCTAAGAAAAAATTGTGAATTTTTATAACTTTCTACCACTTAATTGCATACAATCTACCACTATTCTTTTCTCTTTCTATAGGAACATCATTCATTTATGCTCTTATCTTACAGACAAACATTGGCAGTCTATAGCTGCAGTAAAAAGACTTTCTAAAAAAGGAGAGAGAGCCTGTAGTCCTGGCTACTTGGGAGAGTGAGGTGGGAGGATCAATATTCAAGTCTGGGAGGTTATGGTTGCAGTAAGCCATGACTACGCTACTGCACTCCAGCCTGGCAAGAGAAACACTGACTCAAAAATATAAAACAAAATAAAATTAGAAAGACTATCCTAGTATTGCAATACTAGGATCCTAATAGTTATCAACAGTCTCCAGCTAGGGAACATATAGGTAGGACCTGCCCTATCATCAATGCAAACCCATCTGATTGGGTAAAACTAAATTGTTTGTAATGAAAACACACTTCTGATAGGAGCCAGCTATATCTGCTAGGCAGAAAAAAGGTAAAAAAGCATTCATCTAAACTGTCCCACATAATCTAAACCTTGGAATAATTTTATAATTAACCAAAGTAATACATATACTATAGTTTAACTTTACATTATTATTTGAGGTAGTTTAATCAATAAAGAAAAACTACAAAATTAGGACCTCCTTGTTTAAACTTTCTAACTTCTCATCTCCTCATAGGAGAAAACAAAGCATTATCCATAGAACACTCTAGTACACAACTAGTTTTAAAATTGTGCAATTTTTAAAGCATAACCTCACTATATTTATGATTAGTAAGAGAGGGTAATCATTTAGTAATAGTGTTGAGACTGTGGTGGCTCATGCCTGTAATCTCAGCACTTTGGGAGGCTGAGGCAGGGGGATCACCTGAGGTCAGGAGTTTGATACCAGCCTGGCCAACATGGTGAAACCCCATCTATACTAAAAATATAAAACTTAGCTGGACATGCTGGTACACACCTGTTATTCTAGCTACTCAAGAGGATGAGGCAGGAGAATCGCTTGAACCCCGAAGGTGTAGGTTGCAGTGACCTGAGATCATACCACTGCACTCTAGCCTGGATGCAGTGAGACTCCATCTCAAAAAAAAAAAAAAAAAAAAAAAAAAAAGTAATAGTGTTGAAGGCCAGATTAAGTGTGAAAAAGATGAAAGCAAATGATAAAGAACAAAAGATCTGATTTTAAATAAACAGGACTACAAAGCATTTTTCCACACAAATTGTAGTTTTTCTTTTAAAATTAGAACTGGGCGGCCCATCAATGATAGACTGGATAAAGAAAATGTGGCACATATACACCATGGAATACTATGAAGCCATAAAAAAGATGAGTTCACGTCCTTTGCAGGGACATGGATGAAGGTGGAAGCCATC